AATCTTAGGTAAATCTTACGTTAGGTTTGCCCCATCGTATTTGTTATTTGACGCGTTTCGCGATGACATCATCAATGTAATTTAATACAATAAAAATGCGATGTTTGCAATTTCGCAAGCGTCGACAGCTATTAGATAGCGTAATCAAAGATTTTTCAAGGATATGCTGCGACAAGTCACGGCATGTTTCGCACGGCATATGACATCATCAATGCGATTTGATATAAATGCGTTGCTAAATGGTGCACATGACCAAACTTTTCATGAACATTCGACATGAACATACACGTCACAATATGCGATGGTGTCATTAATGTAATGTGATACAAATGTCACGTGATCAAGTAAATGGTATAAAATTAGAAGATAATATTTAGATGCACCGCGTCATTAGTCAATGCAAGCGATAACATGGAGCGCGATTTGATAGAGCAAGCAACTCAGCTGAATACCATAGAAGAGTCGCATGGGAACAACGATGCGACGAAAATCTCTGGAAGAGCAGTCATGCCCACGATTATCGATCGGCAAGAGACAATCAGTGATCACATCGCCAGGCTCGAGAGTTTGAAGGAAGGTGTGTGAACGATTCGTGCATATGAGTGCTGGATATGGACTTCGATGGCACGAGATCGAAATAACGTTCGAGAGTCGTATATTGACAGACACAGTGATAAACTCTAATCACATCGAGCTGCGGTTTTTAGAAGACGCTGGCAATATAATGCTCGAGCGAATGTGAGACATTGTAGAAACGTGGTAGTGTAAAAGTGAACGCGAGTGGGCATTGTCGCGAACTCTCAATTTGGTTAAATGTGAATAAACACAATCCAATGTGTGTGGAACGTTACTTCGAAATGTCACGGAAAATAGCGACGAAACGAACAGTGATCAACATGCATTCGATGGACAATGTGTGTTTCGCATGATCGGTGGTAATCGCTCTATACCCAGCTAAAAGTCACGTGGATAGAAAATTGTCGTATCCGCATTATACGATAGTTGAATCTCGCGGATATCGAATTTCCGATAATGTTCAGGGACATTCCGAAATTCGAAAATCTCAACAACAAATCAATACGATCAACGTATACAGCATCGAAGATAAGCAGGTCTTTTCTCTACAGTTCACTGATATCAAGAAAGACAAACATATTATTTTCTTGTACCTACAAGATTCCCGCAACGACAATATTAGAGACTTTGCTTTGGATAAAAAATCTATCCCGCCTTATAAGATCACAAATTAATGGAAACGAGAATAGGAAATATTTTTGTAAGTATAATAAGAAAAGTTAATAAAAAAACAATATTTAAAAACAGTAAAAAGATTGAGATAAATAGAAAAATGATTTCTCTATTATTTGCAGATACATTCATTACTTCAGCTTGAGCGCAAAGTTGGAGATCCACAGCGAAGACTGTGATAAGATGAACGATTGTGTCATTCGACTGTCGAGGAAGGACGACAGGCGGCTCGAATTCAGTAATTACAATCAGAAACGAGTGCCGTTCATCGTCTACGCCAATCTGAAGTACATTATACGGAAGATGGAATCCGACACGGAAGAGCGTTGTCATATCAACAGCATGAAGCGTTTACTACGTGCGATGCGCGTACGACAACACATTATCGTCGTATTACTTTTGTCCCGATGAAGACTGTATAGCGTGGTTCGCGCGACAATTCAATGATTTGGCACATCGCATGAAAACTATTGTATCTGCCAACGTGCCCATAAAAACGTTGTCTAACAGCAAAGGGAGGCGGACCGTAGCGCGATGCGTTGTCACATCTGCGAGAAACTGTTCGCGCTAGACGATACGTGGGTCCACGATCATTGCCATCTCATCAGGCGATATTGCGGTCCAGCACATTCGAATTGTAACTTAAATTATAAAAATTCGTTCTATATTCTAATTGTATTTCATAATTTATCAAATTACGGCGCGCATTTTATAATTAAGAAAATTGCTACCGCGTACGAAGGAAAAATATATTTCGTTTACTAAACATATCGATGGCAAAGACAAAATTCATGCTTTCAAATTTCTAAATGTAAGCCTCGATAAATTGGCGTTGTCTCGACAAAGATAAATTAAAAATTGTACATTCCGAATTTCTAACATTATCAGATGAAGAATTTGAATTACTCATACGAAAAGATGTCTTTCCGTACGAGTACATTTGACTTCGTCAAAAAAATGGACACGTTTACTACCGCGCGAATTATTTTTCAGTTCGTTGACAGGCAATATAGTATCCGAGAGCGATTATGCTCACGCCGTGAATGTCTGGCAGTGATTCTCCATCCAAACTCGGCGAGTACAATGATCTGTACTTGAAAACTGATGCCTTGTTATTAGCCGATATTTTTGAAAATTTCCGCAATATTTACATCGCGATGGTCTCGATCCCGCGCATTATTATACATTGCCAGGTTTTACGTCGAATACTGAAACATACGCGTGTAAGATTCGAGTTGCTCACCGACATTGATGGTTATGTTTATCAAGCGGTATATGCGGCGGTCTTAGTCAGTGTTCCGGCAGATACGCGCAGGCTAATAACAAGTACATGTGTTCATTCGATGCGAAACCGTCATCGTACTTGATGTATTACGATATGAATAATCTGTACGGCGATGTGTCCTTTGCCATACGCCGAATTTCAAAGACGCTGCAAATTTTGACGTGAACGCGATCGCTCCGGATTCACCGGTTATATTTTCGAGGTCGATCTCGAGTATCCACAGCATCTACACGATCAACACTGATCTATCTTTCTGCCAACGTGCGATAAATCACTCGGCAAGCGCGAAGATAAACTTCTAGCGACGTTGTACGATAAACAGCGTTATGTAAGCCACTACTGCAATCTGTAGCAATGGACTTATCACAGTTTTCGCGTAACAAAGATCCACCGAGTGCTATAATTCGATCAATCTCCATGGCTTCGCAATTACATTGAACTCAATACACAATTTAGAATGTGCGCGAAAAACGATTTCGAAAAAAATTTGTATATACTAATGAACAATGCGGTATTCGATAAAATCATAGAGAATGTGCGCAATCACATCGATGTAAAATTAATAACAAAATGGAACGGACGGAGGAAATGATTGCGAAACCGAATTTTCACAACCGCAGCGTCTTTGCGGAATTTAATCGCCGTCGAAATGCGCAAACTCGAGGTGAAGTTCAACAAGCCAATTTACGTATATGCATACTGGACATATCAAAAATCTGTTTGTACGAATTTCACCACGAGTATATGTTACCGATGTATCGCGAAAAATATAAAATTATGTATACTGACACAGACAGTCTCATTTATCACATATTAGGTGTGAAAAAGTTCATGGCGTTTTTCCTGTTAGATGGCATTTAAAAAACGCCACGAACTTTTTCCCACACCTAATAAAGTGCAACGATGTGTACGATGCGATGAAACGATATCGCTAGATCTAACACGAGCGATTAGTCCGGCGAATAACATGTACGGTATCTCTCATGAATAAAAAAGTACCCGGCCTGAAGGACGAGAACAACGGTATTAATGATCGAATTTGTCAGACTCAGAGCGAAGATGTATGCGATGAAGATGGACGGCAAGGATACTAAAATCGCGAAAGGTGTAAAGAATATAACATCATAACGCAAACGATAACGTTCGACAATTACATGCGTTGTTTGAACAAAAAGATTGAAATGACTCGTGTATACGATCGAAACTACACGAGATATACATGATATCCGAATCGAAAATCGCTCTAAATCCATACAATGACAAATGATACGTCGTACCGGACTCGACGGAAACGTTACCGTGGGGGCATTGGCGGATATCTTTGTAATATATGTATTATATATTTTATATTTTTTTAATTCTTTATATGTATTATTATTTTAATTTATATGTTTTTTTTACATTTATATACATATTATATGTTACTATTATGTATTACTATCATTATAATTTACACCTCATAGATAAAAAAATATATACAATCAAAAATTGTATCAAATGACATTGTTTTTTTTTCGTGTATCCACGAATTATGTGATCCATCGAATTCCAAACATTTAACGTACATACTGTCTCCCTTCTT